TATAATACATTCAATAAAATTAATTTCACATTAACTAAATTTTCTTCGTATACATGAGCTAGACAATGATCAATATTTGCACGACTTCTATTATAATATTAAGACTAGAAAAAGAAATTATGCTTTAAAATTATTATTTTTTAAAATAATTTTAAAAACATATCTTATATTAATATAATACATTCAATAAAATTAATTTCACATTAACTAAATTTTCTTCGTATACATGAGCTAGACAATGATCAATATTTGCACTCGGGTCCCGGGTGTTAAGCCCATGTGTTGCGTTCAAATCCCAAACCCCATTCTCAAAATTTTCAACTGCTAAAAAAAAAAAATAAATAAATAAATAAATAAATAAATAAACGATAATAATTTATTACAAATCTTATCATGTATGTCCATAACCTTAGACAAATGAGTATACTTAAAACGAAATTCACGTGTGTTTAGCGTTTTTTTTTAATAACAATTAATCGCTAACAACGTTTATTGACATTAAATAGGAGGCTATATCAGGCCATGCATACTAATGACACACTGCATTATTCTAGCCAATCCAAAGAGGATGAGAACCTATGTCTACCATTGCTTGCTTTTTAAAAGGACCATAATTCATCCACCCGTAAGTTCGACACCCAATAAGTGTATATTGCATAAACCAAAAGGTTTTAGAAGTAAAATTACAAATTTACTTTTTCACTAAACCATTTCTCAAATGACAGCAAGAACAAATCTCAGCAAAACTCAATCGAGCATTCAAGCACCAAATCCATCATTACCCTAATCATTTGGAAGACAATTAGCAGTCGTATCAAGTTCCCACCTTCTTCTTCCTTCTTTTTTTTTTTTCATTTTTTCTCTCGAGTTCTCCAGCAGAACCTAGATCGGATTCTACTACTGTTTACACCATAAATTGTAAAATTTTATAATAAAGCCACGTGTAAGATATTTTTTAGTGGATGGAGGAGATTAGGTCAAGTCAAATTCGTAATTCTGAGTCCCATGACAGATCAACTGTTATTTTGGCAAAAAATGGGAGATAAACTTGAGGTTTTTACTGTGTAATTATCTTGTGAAGGTAAATAGGGACTGCTTCAGCTAAAATGTAGGAGAGAATTGCAGTTAAAGAGGTGTTTTATCTGATAAAGAAATAGATGACGAAAATTTGTAAGGAGATAAGACCAAGTCAATTTGTGAGCTATTCCATTATCTCAAGAAACCACCCATGATTGAGTAACTGCAGAAAGTGGAAGTTACTGCTGACACAAGGAAAACAAAAAGGAAATTTTGGAAGGGAGAACGGACGGCCAGCCAGCCCTACTCAACATATGCAAATTTTCAGATTTTATTTTCTCTGCAATCTGCTTCCAGATTTCGAATTTCAGCACAGATTCTAGTAGAATTAGGTTGTTTTTCATCATTTCAGTAGACAAATTAATTCATGTATTCAGTTCAACAATTTCCTTTCATGCAGTGAGCTTCAATCATTCAAGTTTATGCAAGGTATTGTTCTCTTTCCATTTGCAATTAATTTAATGTTTATGATAAGTAGCATTTTATTCAATGATTACTTATGTTGTGTTCATACTTCTTTTCAACCTCAAGCATGTTAATTTAATCACTGTTCACGTTAATTTTAATGTTAATTAGGGTAAAATCTTTAATTTTGCAGCATTTAAATTTCCAGATCTGCCAGTAAATATCATTTTAATTTAACAGTGAACATGTTTAATTTAATTTGTACATATTTTTATTCTCGCAAATTTATTTTAAATTGCAAGTTATTTAGTTTAATTAGGATTTGTTAATTTTAAGTCACGGTAATGTTTAAGTTCTTGGAGTTATCTAAGGCAGATTTCGTAATCCATTCTACAGAAAGGTATCCCTCTCTCTTGCAAATCGTCTGAAGATGCAAATTTCAATTTTAATCCAACGTTCTCCCCGCCATCCACAAGGAGGTCGACTGTGATGAAGGAGAGGGTCATTGGGAAAGTCCTCCTTTCTTACTTTCAACAAAATAAGTGGCACGCTCGCATCCAGATTTCACACGTGCGAGGTCACTAGAGAATTTTTGGGGAAACAGCTACAGAACCCAACAGAACCCAGATGGAGACACAAAAAAAAAAAAAAAAGAGGACAAAGGAAAAAGGAAGAAGATAATGAATTTGTTAAAAGAGGAGGATGGAGAGACAAGAAGAAAAAAGGAAGAAAAAGGGATATTGTGAGGAAAATGATTTTTAAGATTAAATTTGTAATTTTATTCTTATAATTATTTGGTTTTATAGAGTGTGTACCTCCGAGTGTTGAATCTGAGTACACAAAGCATTTTCCTTTTTAAAAAGATCAAGAGACTGGTATCGTAGACCTTTTGGGTGAGAGCCAAGAGGACCCATGCTTTTATTTAAAAAAGTGAAAGACTTCATGAGCGATAATCAAATTGTTCTGTATCATTCAAGTTGGAATAAAAAGTTTATTGTTCCACCATGACAAGTTTTCCGGTGAATTCCATTGGGACAAGTTATTAAGTTAGATACCGTAACTACGCCACTCTTCTCTTTAATGTTGTTATTAACACAAAAAATATATATATATATATATATTATGTAATTTGAAATGCATTAAATTATATAATATAACTCATTAAATGAAATTTAATTTCTGTTGGGATAACAACTTAACATTTATAATAAACCATGAGCCCAATACCCAACTCACATAAGGAAAGACCTTCAAAAAGTAAGAACTACCTAATTAGTGACAAGTGGATCAATAGAAAATGGTCATCACGCATGTGTCCTTAGTTTCATAATTGAATGCTATAAAGGATTTTTCTAACCAATGCTCATAGAGAACGTGTTAAGATCACTTTTTTACAATATAAAAAATGTAAAAGTAAATATTAATTTTAGTTTTAATATTATATAGATAAATTCAATTAGAGAGTTGTTAAATTAAATGTTACCTTTTTATTTTTTTTGAGACTCTTAACTTATACCTTTAGAGCACACGTTAGAAAAACCCTACCATAAATACCTCCTGCAATCACGTTTAAGATAATAATTCTCACTCAAGTTTTATTTTTATATTCTCTAGTTGAGAGCTTTTCTTTTTGAAATTTATAAATTATTGCTAATTTAAGTGTTAAAGTATTTTCTCTGATAAAACATTCTCGAACATTGTAAGTTATCGAAAGTTTGTGATTGTATAACCCTAGATCTTGACTTAATCTAAGATAATTTTTGCTTCAAGAGCTTCCTATAGCTTCCTAATATTGGAGTTGTCTACTCTCATATAATAATTCAAATTTGTAGTCCCATATAATTTAGAATGTAAAATATGATATTCTTAACACAATTATCAATGTATAACATCATACACTAGAGAATATGGAACTTACAAAGAAAAATGGAAAGAGTTTTTCTAACTTATATTTTTAAGATCCAAATTAAAAGTACTTAATTACACCATTTCCTCATTAATTTTTATTTAAAAAATAAAATTTGATTTTAATTTTTATTAACCTAATTAAAATTGTGCATGTATAATTGATATTGACAATAAAATTAACTTTTGTAAAATTCTATATAAATTAATAAAAAAAAATGTAATTGATGCACTATTGAAAGCACAAGCTAGGAAAAAAAATCTTTTGAGAATACAAGATGTCTTGCTCTATTTACAAGCCGTTTAGTTGTTAGAGTATATAAACTTTATTAACTCAAAACAAGTTTGAGGGGGGCAAAATTAAGAAAAACAACTAAGTTTAGGTGCTAACCTAGTGAATTGCTCCAAAAAGTAAAAACTATGGTGCATTATTGGGATTTTGTTAACAACTAAACCAAGATAAAAATTCACAATTTATGTGGCCTGACCATAACCATGGGCCATGGATCATTTCAAGTTTTCAACCCACCGAAGCACGTGCTTCTCACGTGATTACCCCAATATTTGAAATTCCGACCTCAGCGCCTTTCTCAAATTATTTATATATTTTATAGTAAAATAAAATTTCTCTAATTCTTAAAAAATTCTCAGTCACTCCCCTCTCCTCTCAAATTCAAATCCTCACGACGGACAACAAAACCCCTCCATCTTCCTCCTCCTCCTCCTCCGCTCCTTTTCTCTTCAGCTCGCGGATTTCAGATCCCTGCATTTTGATTCAGAAATGCAATGTATGGTTTGATTTGGAATTGGATGTTTCATAGGTGGATTTAGGGATTCGTTTCGATTGGGATCGACTGAGGTTTATGCGATTTGTCTTCGTGTAATCTTCAATGGAGAATTCGGAGGTCAAGGATTGCGTGAGAGTTGCTGTTAACATTAGGCCATTAATTACTCCTGAACTTCTAAATGGCTGTACCGATTGCATCACAGTCGTCCCTGGCGAACCACAGGTACCGGACCTTAATTTCTTCTTTGTTCATCCTGCTTGCGTTTTTATCCTTTAGACTTTTGAATTTCGATTGCAATGTTCTTCCGTCCTCTTCCGTTTAATCTGGATGCTGCTTTTTAAGTCATTTGTTGTGCTGTTTGTGTTTATGCATAGGAAATGAGGTTCAAATTTTCGCTATTGGTTTTGGTTTTGTTGTTTGCATTCACAGGTGCAAATTGGGTCGCATGCGTTCACTTATGATTATGTTTATGGAGGCGGTGGATCATCGTCTTCAAGGATCTATGACGATTGCGTTGCTCCTCTTGTTGATGCTCTCTTTCATGGTTACAATGCCACCGTTCTTGCTTACGGCCAGGTTTAAATGACGTTTTCCTCTTTGTTCTAATATTCTTGAGCAATATTTCTGAATGTTGTATGTTGTTGTGCGCCATGTATCAACTGAGTTTACTCTTTTTTTTTTTTTTTTTTTTTTATTTCAATGTAGACGGGTTCAGGGAAAACATATACAATGGGAACAAACTATACAGGAGAAGGAAGTAATGGTGGGATCATACCCAAAGTACTGGAAAGTATATTCCAAAGAGTTGAAGCAATGAAAGATTCTACCGAATTTTTGGTCAGAGTATCATTTATTGAGGTAAAGTTTGCTTCATAAAATTGTTCCTTCTTCTCTTTTGGCTTTATCTAGTGGTTATTTCAGTGCTCATAGGATGATTTTCTTTAATGACAGATATTCAAGGAAGAAGTTTTTGACTTACTTGATCCAAATTCGATGGCTTCATCTAAATCTGAGGGGAAGGCAGCAGCAGCACCTGGAAGAGTTCCAATACAGATTAGAGAAACAGTCAATGGGGGGATAACACTTGCTGGGGTAACTGAGGCAGAAGTTAGGACAAAAGAAGAGATGGCATCATATTTGTCGCGAGGTTCTTTATCTCGTGCAACAGGAAGTACCAATATGAATAGCCAATCAAGGTGAACGTTTAGGAAGCTACGTGTTTCAACATTAGTGCATTATTCCACGTCCCATTATTTCAAAAACCATTTCTTTAGCTAGTTATCAACTTACAATGGCTACTCATTTTTAGCTCATTCATTCTTTATTTTTAATAGTTTGCATCTGATAATTAACTTGTGTATATTTCAATAAGCATGTGCTTCTCTTTATGTTATTGGACATTAGTAATCCTTATTCCATTTTTTTTTCCAGTCGCTCACATGCTATCTTTACAATAACCATGGAGCAAAAGAAGATAGCCAGTTGCCAATCTGGGGTAACAAATGATGACATTGGTGATGATATCCTTTGCGCCAAGCTTCATTTAGTGGACCTTGCTGGCTCTGAACGTGCAAAAAGAACCGGAGCAGATGGACTGCGACTCAAAGAAGGCATTATGATAATTGATAAATAATTAAATACTATTTTTTGAACATTGGCTGACTGGTACTTTTTGCACTTTTAGTTGTATTTTAATTTTATATTTTATATGCTGCAGGCATTCATATCAATAAGGGTTTACTCGCTCTTGGAAATGTAATAAGTGCATTGGGAGATGAGAAGAAGAGGAAAGAAGGGGGCCATGTCCCATACCGTGATAGCAAGTTGACTCGCTTGTTACAGGTAGGAAAGTGGCTTTCTAGCCTTTCGTTTTAATTTTTCCTTTTGGAATTGGGATTTCTCATAAGTTGCTTATAAGTTGTTTAACACCTTATTATGGTTGGATCCATATTAAACAATCGTTTTGATAGGTAATATGTCCTTTAAGGTGCTTTTAGCATGTATAATATTGTTAAGAGGTGACTCATTTTGTTTCACCAAGCTCAAATCCCAGTTTTAATTAAGTATTTAAGCTTCAAGTGAAATCATTTCCTTTTTTCTTCTTAAAAAAAAAAAAAAAATCAACGCTGTAATGATTGAATAATAAATTTCAGGATTCACTTGGAGGAAACAGCAAAACAGTGATGATTGGTATGCTGATTATATCTTCTAGACCATTTTAAGGGTTATTTATTTATTTATTTTATTTGCATTTATAGTTATATACAATTTGTGTATTGTGGTCTAGCTTGTGTTAGTCCTGCTGACACAAATGCTGAAGAGACTTTGAACACCTTGAAGTATGCAAATCGTGCTCGCAACATTCAGAATAAGGCAGTGGTAAGTTTTTAGTTTAGTAAGATTCTTGTAAGAAGGAAAGAAATTTCTAAATGTCATGGTTCTCTTTCTGACTTATCTTCTTTACTTGATTCAGATTAACCGTGATCCAACGGCAGCTCAGCTTCAAAGAATGCGGAGCCAAATTGAACAGTTGCAGGCCGAACTTCTATTTTACCGAGGTGAAGGAACTACGCCATTTGATGAACTTCAGGTATATCTATACACGGACATTATAAACTTCACTACTTTTTTTCTTAATATAATTGCATAACTAAACTACTTTCAATGCAGATTCTCAAAAACAAGGTATCGTTACTTGAAGCAAGCAATTCAGAGCTACAACGAGAGCTTCAAGAACGTAGGGTTGCCAGTGAACACTTAGCACAACGTGCTCTAGATGCTCAGGTATTTTTCCTTTATGCATTTTTTTTTAATAAAATGATTTGCAAAACCTTTTTCTGTATCCTGCAGTACTTATGCTACTGATCAAATCCAATTAAATTCTGAGTTACACCATCATTTCAGGTTGAGAGAGACAAGCTAATAATGAAAATTGAATCAGCTAGAAACGGTAAATCTTGGGATGAGATTGATTCTAACGAAAATCAGGTCAGAGAGTCGATTCTTTTTCTTTTCAATATTGCTGGTTACCAATGAGGCAATGAACGAAATCTTAGTTGAAGGAGGTTTGTTTCATTGTTGCAGGACTTTGATTTGTTGAAAACTTATGTGGTGAAAAATCAAGAATTAGAAGGGGAATTGCTACGCTTGAGAAGCTTATATAGCTCAAAACGCAGACGATTTTCTGATTTTGCTGACTCTGATGATGAGGGTTTTCACCCAAAAAATGCGTTGTTTTCTTGTGTAAATGAGTTGTCATCTGACTGCGACACCAAAGGTGTGGACATTTCAGGTAAGTTGGGAAATAAATGGCGACAAGGATACTTCCCAAATCTGTTGTTTGAGTATCTTTTTTCCTTCACTTGCAGAGATTGAAGATCAGGAGAAGGAGCTTGAGCATTCTACTCTCCAAGAAAAATTAGATAGGGAGCTGAAGGAGTTAGACAAAAAACTTGAACAAAAGGAGGTATTTAATACTTCAATTATTTAAATGAAACATTTAATTCTGCCTGGTGGTTTCTAATATATCTGATTTCTAAAGATATATCATTTATGGTTATCTTAGAGAATGTTTGTTGGTTGAACTTTTTCTTCTTTCAGTTTCCTGCTGTAGAGAGGTTTATAATTGAAAATGGAAGAAACCCCTTACTAAAAAAATTCTTGTCAAACTCTTCCAAGACAATCTATGCTGTTGATTAAAGAAAGATCTTTACTTTTTGAGCATTTATGTTGCTTATTTCACCAATTCTGTTTGTTCTGGCCTTTTTTGTTTGCTCATTTATTTGTTTTGCTTTCTTATTTACACATTTAAGGCTGAAATGAAGCGATTTACAAATGTTGACACTTCTGTTCTTAAACAACATTATGAGAAGAAAGTTCAGGAATTGGAACAAGAGAAGCGGGCATTACAGGTCAGTCCTTTCATTGTAGTTATGTTATATAGTTGATATAGTATCATGCTAACATCTCCCTTTTGACAAATGCCAGAAAGAAATTGATAATCTGAGACATAACCTTTCCAATATATCATCTACCTCCGGTGACAGTGCTCAAAAATTGAAGGAAGAGTACCTTCAGAAGTTAAATCTCCTTGAGGCACAGGTAATTTTTGGATTTTGCTGCCCCATTTAAATGCAGTTTAGTTGTACAGGATTCATGTTCTGTTTTGCAGGTAGCAGAGTTGAAGAAGAAACAAGATGCTCAAGCTCAGCTTTTGAGACAAAAACAAAAAGGTGATGAGGCAGCAAAACGACTACAGGATGAGATTCAAAGAATCAAGTCTCAGAAGGTGCTTCCATCCCCTACTTTTCTTTATGAGATGAAAGTTGTACAAATAGGAATATGGCTTTGGCTGTAGTTCTAAATTCTAATTCCACTGTTAATCTTTTAGGTTCAACTACAACATAAGATCAAGCAAGAATCTGAGCAGTTTAGACTATGGAAAGCATCACGAGAAAAAGAGGTTCTTCAGGTACAGGAAACTACTAGAGCAACTAATTGCATTTTTAACAAATGAGTTTGTTATGGTCATATGGATGTATTATTTGCAATACTTGCGTTTGGGTCAAATATCTCTGATAAAGAATTTGGTCATATATGATAAGGCATGCCATTTGAGAGGAGATGATAACTTTATTCCACTTTATCAATAAAGTTTCTTAAAGTAGGCAACTTGTTTTTCTATGTTGTGATAGCATGAAATTCAGTATTTTTGTTCAGAAGTGGTAGTTTTCAATGATATAATAAATATCTTGTTTCTTTAATGTTTTAAGAGTTTGGATACCAGAAATCTGTTGTTATGTGATACAAACATGTATGCTCCTGGAGAAAACCTTTTAGTCCTGATGGATTTATCTCTGCAGAATTTATGTTCAAGGCTTCAAGCTAGCAAATTTTCCTTATTTGACTGTTGAGTCTTATCTTGGTGTGTGTTTTAACAATTACCAGCTCAGAAAAGAGGGAAGAAGAACTGAGTACGAGATGCATAAGCTGTTAGCTCTGAACCAACGACAAAAGATGGTGAACTTAAGTTAATTTTGGAATATTTTATCTTCATTATGATTGAGAACCATTCTTCTTTAGACTTTATCTGTATTTTCATGTCAGGTTTTGCAAAGAAAGACTGAAGAAGCGTCAATGGCTACAAAAAGACTGAAGGAGCTTCTTGAATCTAGAAAGGCTCCTTCCCGTGAAACTTTCAGTTAGTAGCCATTTTGCATATTCAGTTTATTTTCACTTACAAAGTTGCATAATTAACAATTTTCTTGATTTGTAGGTGCGGGAAATGGCAATGGTCCTGGAGTCCAGGTAATACCTTTGAATGAGAAGTTTATTTTCTGATCTTATGAGTCAGATGTTCTATAACATTTGGCTTTCAAATGCCTGTAAGATGGGACAAGATTTGTTTTTTCTTTACTAAGCATGTTTGAGACTGAAGATTATTTACTGGATTGTCATTGGTGCCCTCAAAAGTGCTCTTCCATATTAACATCTGCTATTTTCTATTGAAGGCTCTGATGCAAGCAATTGAACATGAGCTTGAACTCACAGTTCGGGTACATGAAGTTCGCTCTGAATATGAACGACAAATGGAAGAGTGGGTCCCCCCTATTTATTTATTATTTCAAATAGTAATCCACTGCTGGTCATTGAATTTTCTATCATTACAAATTCAATAAAAGTGTATCCTATATTTATTAGACTACAATGCAGTCAGCTTTACTCATTACTAGGCTTAATACTATTTTGTTTACACCACTAAAGATTCCAAATGGAATTTGTGATTTTGCGTTACCCTTTGCCAAATAATGCTCTCTGGTTGTTTATTTATAGGAGGGCTAGGATGGCCCAAGAGGTTGCAAAACTAAAGGAAGAAGCTGAGATGCTTAAGCAGACTAATCTCAGGTTAAATTTTGTCATGTTTATCTTTTGCTTCTTATTATTTCTGCAGACAAATTAAGTAAATGCCTTTTTCTGAATGGACCAAATTCAGTGACTGGCCTGAGACAATGTCACCTGGTGCAAGAAACTCAAGAATTTTTGCCCTTGAAAACATGCTTGCTACTTCTTCCAGCACTCTAGTCTCTATGGCATCACAGTTATCTGAAGCAGAAGAGCGTGAACGTGGCTTTGGTGGAAGAGGTCGTTGGAACCAAGTTCGATCTCTTGCTGATGCAAAAAATATTATGAATCACCTATTCAATTTAGCATCCACCTCCAGGTAAAACTAATAGTAAAAGAGATAACATGATTTTTTCAGAGGCTGATCACCTGAACATTTTTATTAATTGATAAGCTATACATGTATGTTGGACTCAATATCATTTTCTTTATCTTCTTTTCAAGGTGCTTGCTGCGAGATAAAGAATGTGACTGCAGAGAAAAGGACACAGAAATAAGAGATCTAAAGGAAAAGGTTGTCAAACTCAGCAGTTTGATTAGACAACTTGAAACCCAGAAGGCAGAGCTTGTTCTTCAGTTGAAACTGAAGGTTAGTAAATTGCTTTGTTGGGATGATTATGACTCCATTTCCCTGTATTGATCCTTGAGACATCCCAAACTGGTATAACGCAATTAAGACTTTAAACACATGGAGCAAAAATATACCTTATTCAGTTATATAAACCTGCATACTTGGATGCAGAAATAGTTGAACTCTTAATCAGATGTTCCTGTGCTCTTAAGCAGCATGTTGTGAATCTTTTGCAGCATAAGCACGGTCTTCAAATTTTACCTGCTGCAATTTAAGTTGAGAATTTTATTTTATTTTGTTTATTTACTTATTTATTTATTTTTTGTGTTATTGAACCCTGCAACAGGATGCAGCCCTGAACGATAGAAAACATAGATATGACTTGAGGAAGCAGGTAGGCGGCACCTTTGTCATATGGGCACGTCAATGTTAGCAAAGAGTTCTTATTCAATTACTCTAACTAATGATTAGAATGTTCTCTTTTGGGACGTAGAGTATCTGGTGGGGTTTTGATTTAATTGCTTGTTTACTTAAATGAAATGATTCCAGGATTACCGTAGCTCTATTATGTTGTTGGAGGACATGGATATATCCGACTCAGAGTATTCAGGCATTGAATCTGAGGATGATGAATGGGTATGTTCAGTAAAAAGGCCTGTTAAGAAAAGAAATTATAGAAATGGAAGTGAAGTTGGCTCTGGTCCAGGGAGCAATCAATTAGATGCCAGTCATATTGAAGGTTCTAAAAACCCTTCAGGAGAGGGTATCAAGGCTCAGATGGAGGAAACTGCTACTGGATTATGCTGTACGTGTACTAAAAGTTCATCATGTAAGACACTGAAATGCCAATGTCGAGCTGACGGTGGCAGCTGTGGGGCATCGTGTGGCTGTTCATCTACTAGGTGTTCCAATAGAGAACCTTTTTCAACCAAAATGGATGAGGTACCACAACCAGGGATGGGAATTACTGCAGATAATGTTTCAGAACCTGATGAAATGGAGAAGAATCAGATCCTTGCTTCTCATGGCGCTAGGCTTCTTCAGAATGCATTAAGTGAGAAGGCAGCAGAGACAAATGATGGTAATAGGGCAAGAAGGAAGCCTCTATTAGACATTGGTAACACACTGGTATGCTTCATTCTCACCTTATCAGCTTATTAGAAGTCTGGTGGACAAATTTATTCCTAGCTTGATGAAATATTTCTCACATGTGAAGCAATTTTATGGACTCTAAAACTCTAATCTGACAAAGTTAACTGTAATTACCCCTGAATAATCTATATATCACATGTTAGAAGCAATGCTTGTTGTCACTTGGAATTTTTTTTTTTTTTTTTTGGGGAGTGCTCGGTAGACATTTATTTGCGTAAGTACCTCTACTTTTTTTATATTTTGTTTAGTTTACTCAGATAACTCAAAAATCTCGTTACTTTTTCTGCCATGGTTCCTTTGATGGACAGAAGGAACTTAATTTTCCATTTGAACATGTTGACATCATTTTAAAACTTCCAACAGGCCAAGTCCAATGCACCAAAGCCTAACCAGAGAAAGAAATGGCGGAAATCCGTCATACAGCTAGTTCCTGATGCTCCTCCTTCCTCTCAGCCTGATAATACAGCAGTGCCTCAAAAGCCAGAAGACAGCGAAGCTCTCAAAGGGCCAGATAGTTATGCAAGCGAGCCAGATATTCCATTGAAGCTTCCAAGAGCAATGATATCAGCAGCATCAAAAGCACCTCAAAAGCCAGAAGACAGTGAAGCTCCCAAAGGGCCGGATAGTTATGCAAGCGAGCCAGATATGCCATTGAAGCTTCCAAGAGCAATGAGATCAGCAGCATCAAATGGACCTCAAAAGCCAGAAGTTAATGAAGCTTCCAGAAGGCCAGATAGTTATGCAAGCGAGCCAGATATTCCATTGAAGCTTCCAAGAGCAATGAGATCAGCATCATCAAATGGCGTCAATCTGTTGAGGGAACGAAATGCTGGAAAACACAATGAATCAAGCAACAAGGAAGCTGCTGTTCTTCCTCCAAGCAGCAGTCCTGCTAGGCCAACAAGAACGTCGGATGAGAAAGAGAACTGCCGCCATTAACATGGTAGTTACTTGTACTGTTGTTGATTGGAAAAATATCCCACACTAACATTGTAATATTTCAGATGTACCTTCCTCTTTACTCATTACCATCACCGTTTTTTATGTCAGATTATTTTTGTACATTTTTTTTATCATGAGATTTCTAGAATGAGAAGATGGGTTATTTTGTGGAGTGTTGTTCCTCATGGGGGAACATAAGTGCTTGGTGTTACAAAAATTATCATGATTAAGGTTTTAAGTTTTTTCAAAATAAAACGAGAGAAAGCGTTGCCAAAATACAAAAAAGAAGAAGAAAAAAAAAAAGATAAAAAAAAGACTGATGTAGAAATGATTAAGCTTTTTGGAATTTCTTAAAGCAGTTTTGTTTAATTCAAAATTTGGAAACGTTATATATGTACACTTTTTTTTGAGTTTGTTGCCTAATGCAAAACAATATTATTAAATGTAGAGACTGTTTTTTAATATTAAGGATTTTTTTAATTTAAAATTAATATTTTATAATATAGTATTATCTATAATGTAAAGTACTCTGTATTACTTATTTTTTTTAAAAAGTTACAATGTTAACTAAATAAAGAAATATGTTTTTCTTGAGAAAGAAATATACGGTTTTTTTTTTTTAAGTTAAAAGTCTATAACTAAATACGTTGAATTAACTTTATTGAAAAAAAAAACTTTGAAATTAACATAAAAAATAAAATATGAGTAGAGAAACTTTTAAATAAAAATATAGGTAAAATTGGACAAAAAATAATTTTTTTTGGTCATGGAGAATTTAATTAGTATGTTCTAATTAAGGGGAATACCCTTGAAGTTTATAAAAAGTGAGATGAGATCTTATTCCAAATACAAGATTTTAAAAACCACTCTATAAATGATTTTATTTATTTGAAGAAGCTATTCAATTTGCTCAACAACATTTTAGAGACAATTTTTTCATTAACCCTTATTTTTCTCCAAATTTATAAGAACCTTCAAGTGAAATAGTGAAAACCACCTTAGCCTTACTGGTTGGTGAAAGACAGTTAATTCTCCCATTGGGAATTAATATATATTTAATTGAAGTGATCACTTTTTATTTTTTTAAGAAGATAAAAATGACTGACTATGATTATTTCTGTAAATAAACCTACGGTAAATCAATCATAGTTACTTTTCTATAACTAGAATTAATCTTACTATAGTTACTTTTTGTAACCTATGTTAGTTGTTCTCTATAAATAGAATAGAAGTTTGTGTAAAAAGGTCAAGTTGTATTAATTTGTGTTGGATATATAGCTTACTGTCACGTTTACCTTTGTTTAAATTGCAGTAGAGTTTTTATCTTATTTGCTTTACTACTTAGTATCAGACTACATTAATCCATTTGTGTTAAAAGTCAGGACTGCTAAGGGTTGCAAATTGGTTAATCCATAGAGATTTCCTAATTTTTTTACTTCTTTTAATGCTTCATGATAGTTTGAATTTTTAGTGAAAGGGGTTTCACTGATTCAAACCAAGATTTATTTTTGAAGTTTTCGAACTTATTTTAACAATTTTTCATGATTTTAAACCAAGGTGGTTGTTTGATGACAGAGATTTTGGACAAAAGGATCTAGCTTTTTTTTATTCAAAATTTGAGAGTTAACTAAATTGACTTTGTTTTTAACAAATTCAATTTGTTATTCCAAGTAGTTTTGGTTTTCAATTACTCTCATAATATTTTTGTTGTAATGCTTTTCAAAGTTTTGGAACCTTTTGAGTATTACTTTTTCTTTTTTCTTTTTTTTTATAGTTTTTTGAAAAGTTTATAATTAAATCTATAATAATGTTTAACTGATTATTATCTGAATGTAAATTATGACTAAAGCATGGGAAACTACACATTATATTATGATTATCTAACATTACTTTTGGTTTTTTATAAGGATGTGAAATAACTAAATCTAAATAGTATAAATTCATATATTTTTTACAAAGATAAAATTTGTTAATTGAGTCAAAACAAAGTAATAGATAATAATATAATAGTAATACTAAATAGTATCTAATAGAGTAATAAATATAGACAATAATAAATATTGACAAAAGGTAAACAGATATTATAACACTAACGAGTAAATAGAAAATAGATAAAAAAAAATACAAAATGAGAATACAAAAACTAAATATTAACTTAGTTTGCAACTTCTATTTGTCTCATTATTCTATATTTATATATGTATATACTGATGAAGAGATTCCTATGCAGGCTATTTTCAACTTCTTTTTTAAAGATCTTTAAGGAAAAACAATTGTTTTTTATAATCTACATCATTGTGGACAGAAGAAAGTTAAACTTGAATAGCCTGATAGAGAAAAAATTCTTTATTACCTAACCCTACTAGAGAGTATCCATTTGAAGCCAAGAATAATGTTTTGAGAGAAATTACCGAGGATTTAGAAATCAAGTTTTTTCAATTGGGTTGACCACTAGCTTTCTTGAGATAGAGGAGCCTCAGGGTTTGAAAAACTTGGAAAGATAAAGGATTAATGGGTAATTGAAAGAGGATATATACACGCACAAATGACACCTATTTATCCCCTGAATTTTTTTTCTTCTCAATTGAGCCCTTGAATATTTTTAGCTATCTGTAAAGGCCATATGTGTGCGTAAAATAAAATTAATGCAGTGTAATATTTGACTCTTTAATAAAGTCATGGTGTTCAACTTTCTTTATTTATGAGGTGATATTTTTAAATATAATACAATCATACAAAAAAGTATTTAAATTAAAATTATGAACATAATAATATACTCATAAATTATATACATCAAAACTTTAATATAACCTATAAAATGATAAGTTCCACACAACTTTGGTTTTTTTGACAACACAACGCTATGACATCTGTCCACGGTTCCACGCAAGTTAAAAACTTCTAATTGGCCATGTCTTTTATGGACTTCCTAGGTCGCACAGTAAAAGTAAAGGGTCTAATTGAATGAAAAAAAAATTAAAGTCGAAATTGAGAAAGCAAGATAAACTAAGTGACTAACTAAAGGTAATTCTAAGACGCTAAAGTAAATGGGCGAATTTCGACCCAAGAATTTGGTCGTCTTATAAACTTGCCATTTCAAGCTGACGTGGCAAAAAAATTGTAATAAAAGCAACATTTAACCAGCATTTTCCGCTAGAGGCGAAATTTAAAAATTTCGAATACATATTGTTCGCCTCGCCGCGCTCCTCCAACTCCAAATCCTCAAGTGAGAACTGAGAAGGAAACTGGAAAGCAAGAGACGCCGCTCCTCTCCGGTATGATTGTGGTTAATGTTCTTCTTCGGTTTCGATTTTGGATTCAATGATATCATCTTGATTCGTGAATTGAGTAATCGATTCTTCGTTTGTAGAAAATGAAGAAAATCAATCGTCGATCGAAGCAGAGAAGCGTCTCGGATTCGCCATCATCATCATCAATCGTTGATAATAAGAAAGATCATGATCAAAGAGTTCGAGATTTGGAGATCGAAAACGAAGCTCTTAAGGTGATTCATGCTTTTGATACGTGATTTTTCCTTCTAATGATACTGTGAGTGTGGATCATGAAAGAAAAATGATAGATCCGATTGTTTAATACTCATTTTTAAGTTTGCTTTTAGGGTTTTGAATACATTATTCTGCTGTTTTTCTTGATTTATGGAGTTGAATTTGTCCGAGATGGCTTTTAGATTTTACTTTGTTTATGTTGAATATTTCCCCGATGGAAGCAATGCTTCAACCTAGATTTGATTGAATTGAATCTGTTTGGTTGCCGAGAAATACAGGAGAAGTTTAGGTCGAAACTTATTGGATTCGGTTTATTCATTTTATTTATTTATTAGGTATTTGACATAGCTGCTCTTCTTTTCGCATGATGCTGAGATAGGGATTCTGTTTTGGCTCCTCTTATAACGGCAGAAAATGATTCATCGCACTGTGCTTAAATCTTAATATATTCCTTGTTGAGTCTCTGAAAAGTGAAAATCAACATGTTTAAAGAGGTTTTCCCAAGGCATGAACATCAGAACATGTTAAAGACAGTTCCCAAGCAAATATTTTACCTCCTTTTTATTAATTGTTTCTTTGGAGACAATAATACGTTTTTAGATGATGCCAAACAGCTTAAACTTTCTATAGTTTTCCTTTACCTCTCTGCAACAAAACGTAGAACATTAGCTTCTTACTCTCTAGTGAATTTGGCTTGGCAGAGGGAGATTGAGGAATTAAGATACAAGGTAGTGAATGTTTCACCAACGTCAGATGTTGGTGCCCAAAAACTGAAGGATGACTATTGTGGGAAGTCAAATAGTGTGGCAGGACAGGTGAAATCTATTCCTACTCTTGCATTTCATATAAAATTATGGTCTGGTACTAAGTACTATTTCATGTCTTTCCAGGTTGTCGAGTTGAAGAAGAAGCTAGATGTACTATCTCAACTCTCCAGTAAAAAGGTTAAAACTGCTGATGCAGCAAATAATTTTCAAGACGAGATTCAGAAATTAAAGGCACAAAAGGTGACTATTTCCATTGGATAAAATATATCTATGAGGAACTGTAGTGTCCTTTTGTTATTTTCACAATTATTGGAGTTTTGGGTTATACAGGTTCAGCTTCAATGCAGAATGAAGCTAGAGTCCATGCAGTTCAGGTTATGTAAGGCTTCACTGGAAAAAGAAATTCTTCAGGTACTTGTATTATCACACATTAGACATCCTCAGGAAATGCAATGATCATAGGCTCAAATCACTTTAATCTTCCTAAATTGGCATCTTCTCCATTCAAGTTCCAAATTGCTTAAAAATTTAATGACTGCAAGTTCTCTCTTTACTTTGGGTCTCTATAAGGCATCCTATTGCACAGAGTATTCTCTTTCTTTTTAATATAGATATATATATATATATATATATATAACAATATATATTAACCATGCAAGGCTGGATTTTGATCTTTGGGATTTTTAAGAGTCTCATTATTTACTAATTAGCCTTTTCTTATTTCCCAATTTACCTATATTTTCCTATTCAACTGCAGACACTCTAATTTATGTATTTCAGTAAAGTTAACCAAATATTTCAAGAGGAATAACCATTCTAAAATATCAATTTTCAGTACTTGGAGGTACTTACCTTATTTAATGCAATTTTTTTCTCCTCAACAGCTTAAGAAAGAGCAAAGAAGGAAGGGATACAAGATGCATGTGCTTTTAGCTTTGAACCAGAGGCAAAAGCATGTATGTCATGTCTTTTTAAGATACTATATTCCATCTTCCTATTACAGTTTTCTTGGTAAATAAGTTTCAAAGAACTATTTTCTGGCCTTCTATGCTTTTCTCTTAGGTTTTGCAACGAAAGACAGAAGAGGCTTTCATGGTTCGTAAACAGCTAAAAGAGAGATTGGAATCAAGAAAGGCTGCCTCTCGCAAAATATCTGGTTAGTGTATAAACTACCCTCTTTAAACCTTTGTTTTGTCTAATTATGATATTTCTTGCCTCTTGCAAAATAGCTGGTTAGTGTATAAACTACTCTCTTTAAACTTTTGTTTTGTCTAATTATGATATCTGATTCATCTTCTGCTGAAATCTTAAGTAGGAACTAAAAATGGCAAGACTGTTGGAATTCAGGTATGAATTATCAAACTGGAAGTAAATGGTTTGTTCTTATAGTATTTTTCTTCCCCTTCTCTCTTTATCTTACTTTCTCACTTGGGAAGAGGGGGGAGTTTTGGGGGTGGGGGGGTTTGGGATAGGATGTGATAGTGATCATAGCTAATTAGCTACTTCTAGCAGGCTTAATGTTATTCTAGCATTTTTCTATATATTATATCTCTCATACAATGACACTTTTGTAGGGTCATAAGCATGGGCTTGATGTGAAAGTACAGCTGCCTAAAGTAGGCGCTGAATATGAATGTCAAATGCGAGAGTGAGTACTAAACATCCTGTGGTAGCAGTCTTCTCTGTGGTTCTTCATTTGAATTAACTTCCATTTTCTTTTTAAATTAATTTGGCATTAGTTTTTACCTTGAATCATCTGTTAATTTGATATTTGTCGTTAAGAGATACCTTTGACAAATATCATATGTTTATGGTCTCCTTATGCACAGCCATTTTGCAAGCACATTTGCTCACAAAGCAACAGACAAACTCTTTAATTGGTGACTTCAATATTTGATCTGTCTGTTAATTTTTAGAGAACTTACAAGGGTAGGTTTAGTTAGCTGAGTGGTGCCATTTGACTTGAAACTTCTATGTAAGTATTTGGTCTTCTAATGTACATAATAACTAATCTTTCTTGAATACTTTTGTCTGCCTTTGTATTTCTAAGAGAAAATTATAGTTTGAATTTTGAAATGCTTGCAGCATAAGGACTCTGGACAGACTATTATTGTGTTTTTTCCCTAGAAATTGATTTAAGTCATGCATTCTGTGGATAGGATGGCTGATGAGATCAAAAAACTCGAGTTAGAATCAGAGATGATACCGGAAGAAAAGTCCGGGTGAGATGATGCTCTGACCTGTCTCGCAAAACAGTTGCCTTTTCCTGTTCTTACCCATCCTGGATCACTTATTCTTCTGTGCTTTAAAAAAGGTACACATTACGGGATGATGAAGGGGCTGTTACAGAATTGGAGTTAAGAGATCTTAGAGAAGAAATGACCAGGCTAAACTGTTTGATTAGTCAGATGAACATGTCAAAGGCACAAGTTGTTCAGAGGGAGAAGAAACAAGTCAGTGCTTTTGTCTTAGTTGTAATGCTTTTTTTGATCTTCAGAATAGTTATGAATTTAACATGGATTAAGAAAAAAAAGGGACTTTCTTGGCAAAGTTTTGAAAAAAAATATTATTTTTCGGGTGAAATGCGGCCTTGACATCTGTTAATCAGGTACATGAAGTTCAATCTTTAATTTCTGCGGGGAGTGAGGTAGATGCCGTTCAATCTTCTCTTTCGGCTGGGAGTGATGTTTTTGCATCAGCCACAGATGCATCTGAAACAGAACGTTCTGAAGGAGTTAACAACATGACAGAGAAACCTGCATCAGGTGTGTGCTGCTCCTGCAGTAAAAAATCATTATGCAAGACCCTAAAATGTGGATGCAGGGCTTTTGGGAGCAGTTGTGGAGCTTCTTGTGGCTGTGCTATCTCCAAATGCACAAATAGAGATCAACTTCAGATCAAGTTGGATTGTTCACCACAATCAGAAATGGCTGATAACATTGTTAACAGCTCAGGCAAAAATGGAGAAGTGAAAAGCACCTATCAAGACAAAACGCTTCCTGAAACTAAAGTTGGCAAGAAAGATCCTAAGATGAATGAAGATTTGAGGTTGAAAAAGCAGCCATTACGCGACATTGGGAATATAACGGTATGCTTCCCTTCTACACTTTTTCTTCTAAGAACCTAAGAATTTGTGCTTCATTCCCAATTATAGCTTTTCCTTTTCTTCCTTTCATTTCCACCATTAGACATGTGCATAAAGCCTTCACCGCATTAAAAATTTAAGATCATAATTCTGTGCGCGCCTCCACAACAGTGCTCAAAATTTCTCAATCAGCTTGAACTGACTTTATGTTTTCCGATTACTTGTTTCAGAACAAACACAATGCTGGGAAACCAAACCGAACGAAGAAAGTGCAGAAGTCAGTTATTTCATCTTGATGTTGTTCCTCCACTTACATCTTTGTGGAAAATACCCACAGCCCTAGAACTGCGAAGAAGTACAATGCACTCCCGAGCCTTGTCAAACGCGCGCAATCCAGCACTTGGAATTTGTCTACTAGATAAGTCATTGTTTTAGTCCAGTGCATTAAACTTGGGTGTAGAACTACCAACCTTTTTCTTTATGGGTGATATTCCATCGTGAAAATGCCCTTCCATGGCACTTTTAAAGATTTTTTCAACATAATTCTACAGACCGAAAAAAAAAAAAAAAGGTGAATTTTTGAAGGGTTCAGGTCTAGAACCTACAGTCTCTAAGAGCAGTCTTGTGAGTACAAAAACTTTGATGGTATGTACTACTTCAGCTACCGAAAGCTGAACCATTTTACTAGAGCATGTATAATGGTTCCGTTTTATTGGGTGTTATTAATGTCATGCTAAAATTTCATCTTTATATATTCGATTTATATATTCGATTTATATATTCAATCCCCAAGTAGAACATATTTTCTCTAATGCATAGATGTAACTAAAGTCTCTTAAAAGCTACATAAGTATTGTTTTATTCAATTAATATTTTATATATTCAAACTATTAATTTATAAACCTACATTATTATAATTTTGTAAAATAAATTTTTTTATTCAATAAATATTTTTCCATTCAAAAAATAAATATCATTTCTGAAAAATAATTTTTCAATTCAATTTTCAAAAATATTATAAAAAAATAATTTTAATTCAAGAAGAGTTGAGAAGATTTTGAATTGAGTGGAAAAATATGACTGCAAAACATGATATTTTAGGTGACAGTCAGGTAAACCTTGCTTTATCTATAGCAAAAGCAGCAATTGCTCCAAAAAGCTTCATTCTGCACAAAATTCCTTTAGCCACCAAGATTACACAAAATAAATAAAGAGACAGCAACGGACTAAAATCTCTGATAGGCAACACAATGCTCTCAAAATCTTTTACCTACATCCATAGAGATGACACAACAATCACTTAAATGGCCAGATGGCATAGCCAGTGCTTTGTGATGGCATGATCATGGCAAGGACTTGATCTTTAAAAATTCATATCAGGCACAGTTTGATCAAGGAGGTCAGTTTTGGTTGATTTCAAGCTTGGTAACCCAGTAGTCCAGTTGGCTAGCAACACACTCTGATCCAGTGGAACCATAGGAACAGAACTTCTTGACTGCATTCTCCACTCCAAGAAATTCATATACGTCATTTTCAAACACAGGACTTAGGCTTCTCAACTCATCTAGGCTCAGGTCCTGAAGCTGGGAGTTTTTGGAAACACACAATGCAACTGACCGTCCAACTATGTCATGAGAAGTTCTAAAAGGCATCCCCTGAAAAAAGGCAACAGAAACATAAATTAAAATGGTTGCAGAAACTGGGGAAGATCAGGGACATGGAATGGTTTATCTATTATACATATGACTAGCAACAATGAACATACACATGGGTGACAAATAAGATTAATGAGTAGGGAAGATAAATAAGCCACTTCTAAGGCAGACCTAATAAAGCAATTGATTCTTCAACTCTAATTCTAATAGATAAAGAATGAATGAGGTCAACAGGAACAAGATACTTGCCTTTTTAACCAGATAATCAGCGAGTGTTGTGGCGTCAAGGTAGCCAGCAGGCAAAGCCTTCTTTATTCTGTTTTGGTTGAAGGTAATATTTTGAGCAAACTCTGCTGAAACTTCAAGCATTCCAACAATAGTCTTAACACTGTCAAACATAGGTTCCTTGTCCTCCTGTCTCAAGAAGAAACAAGAGATTATATATCTTTATCTCAAAAAATATATGGAAGATTTAAAGATAAGGAGCCAAATATGAGGGCAGAATGCAATAAAGGCCATAATGACACTTATCATCAATTTGTAACTAAAAACCAAGACATAGTATCATTAAAAGTTAACATGAACAATATATTAGGTTAAGACATGATTAAGCAATAAGCATAAAGAAGAAACTTTACCTGCAAATCACGATTATAGGCAAGAGGAAGTCCTTTGCACAAAGTGAGAAGGGTAACTAAATCTCCAATCACTCTAGCAGATTTTCCTCTGACAAGTTCCATTGGATCAGGATTCTTCTTCTGAGGCATTATACTGCTTCCAGTAGAAACAGAATCACTTGGTATTATAAAACCAAATTCCTCAGAAGCCCATAACACCCATTCTTCGCCAAGCCGAGATAGATGAACTGCTATTATGGAATTGGCAGACAGAAACTCCAAGACAAAATCTCGGTCTGAAACTGCATCAATACTGTTTGAGGCAGTAAATGTAAACAATTACTGAAGAGGGCTAAATATCAAGAAGCAAGCCATAAAACAAATAGGACACAAAGGTTGAGCAAAAAGATGCACATGCATGAGAACCACCAACAATAGATGCCTGGGATCATCAACTTGACTAAACAAGTTTATATAGTTAGCAATCATGTAGTGCATTACTTCAATTGTACGACTTGTTGAGAAATGCAAGGAAGATGATGCAGAGAACGTCAAAATGACTAAAGAATTCACATGACACGTTAACATCCAAAAAGTCATTTCTATAACTTTTCAGCAAATACCTGTTCCTCAGAGGAGCAGTGAATCCTAAGGCATCAGAGGTCATAAACCTATCAATTGGTAAGCCAGTGCCAGCCAATGCACATGCACCTAGGGGGCAGAAATTCAACCTTGCTCTGCAATCTAGCAAACGACCAGCATCTCGTTCAAGCTACAAGATAACAAACTTACTTTATCTGGCCAAACATATATATGAATTTTGAACTGCAAGGTAAAACAGTGATGAATATTTCAGACCTGCTCCACATAGGCTAATAGAAGATGTTGCAATAGAACAGGTTGAGCTCTCTGCAAATGCGTGTAGCCAGGAACTATCAATCCCTCATTCTCTAAAGCCAAGCTCACCAATGAAACCTGAAGATTTTTAATGCTTGCAATGATCCTGTCAATAGCATCACGACACCACAGGCGAAAATCAGTCAAGACCTGATCGTTTCTGCTTCGAGCAGTGTGGAGCTTCTTAGCTGGTTCGCCAATCATATCAGTGAGAGTTGCCTCTATGTTCATGTGAACATCCTCCCTGTCAGTCCTCCACACAAATTTACCACCATCGATCCGCCGCTCAATTTCTTCTAGACCTTCCAAAATGCTATCCCTCTCACTCGTGCTGATCAATCCCTAAATGAAATCAACATAAAATTGAAATTTTCATAAAACATTTCCCCCAAGATAGCCACAAAGTCCAAAAAATTTCCAACCCTCATACTCTACCTCCAATCTCTACCACATTTTCCCACCACCAAAACAAACCCAGATTCCAAAAACCCAGAAAGAACAAAAAGAAAAAATATTTAACAGAAAATGAAACCAAAAAAAAAAAAAGGAACCCCAGAAAAGGTAGGAACCTGTTTAGCAAGCATTGAAGCATGAGCTTTACTCCCCATAATATCATGCTTATACAACTGCTTATCAAATGATATCGACTCTGTGAACTTCTCCACGATATCTGTGACGCTCTCTTCAAATCTACCGCCCCAAAGCTTGGCCTCTTTGGGTTTTGCTTCAGTTTGAGACGACTGGCTCATGGTGCACGACAATGGCTGGAGCCTTGGCTTGGCGCTGTGAGTAAGTACGTGCAATAGTCTGTGTTGATTGGAGAATAGGTTCGATGGTGAAGATAAGAATTGGGTCGGGGAAGAATACAGCATCGATTCCATGGAAGCTGGCGTAGAAAAGACGGTGAAATGGACAGCGTAGTGGCGGTTCTCCCAGTGTTCCACTTCAAAAACCAACACCCAATTTTGGCGTTTTGCGCCCTAGTGTTTCTCGACGTGTCAGTCATTGCTTCGGGGAAGTCGTGTCGGGTGTACCTGTGTTATGGGCTTGAGCCTCGAATTTTGAATAATGGGCTTGGGTTTATAACAAAAATGGGTTTCACTTCTTAGTCCCATCATCGTCGGGATAAGAAAAGTGTTTTTCGGTTAAATTTTAAAAAAATTAGAAAAAATAAAATAAAATAAAATCATTTCAATATATTCTTAATAAAAAAAGATAATTTATTTTAAAATCAAAATTGAGTTTGTTTTGGTCTTCTCTTGTGATACTTTAATGAAACAATATTATTTTAAAGTGTTTATCCTCTTGATTTTTTAAAAATCTAACAAATATCAACTTCTTTCTTTTTAATGTATGTCTATGATGAGTTTATATATAACAAGTGATGCCTTCGTCTTTCTTTAATCCATTAGCACCATCCTTACTATATGGTGAGAGTGGAATCTAGAAGTTTTTCTTTTCTGTGCTAAACTTCTAACTTGGTATTCTATTTTTACAATGGAAATGTATGTAAATTTTACATAAATTATTAGCTGTTGATTTTATAAATTTAACTGTTAAAATGACATTTTTATATGAAGTAATATATCTTAATCATCGAATTTGAAAATTAGAAGCTAGTAATTGATAGAAAACTTGCATGTATATATGTAGATAGGACTCTAGAATTTAGCATTTTTGCAAAAATTTAATTCAAATAAATTCATTGGGACTCAATTGATTAAAGAGTAATTTGAATTATTCTAAATGCAGATTCGAATCTTTTATTATCATTTTAGTATAAATAATTTCAATTGATCATATTTATTATATTATATTTAAAGATAGAGTTTTACCCAATGTATGTAAACAAGATAACTTGTGAATAACCAAAAGATTAATTGAGTCAAAAATTTAAATATTCATATTATAAAAAAAATTAATTCAAATAATACTTATACAAAAATTCAACTAGACAAGATGGATTCCAAATATCAATTGAGAAATAGACAAGCAAACCATGTAACCATCAAACAAGATAACACATGTAATACATCATTACGTGGCAAAATAGAAGACCTGGTGTGTTAAAGATCATGATAAACATGTTTAAAAAAGGAAAAAAGAAAAAAGAAAAAAAAACCATGATGATAAACATGGACAAAGGGGATGACTTGTGCCATTATGAAACCAGAAATTATTGCATATAAGGTCTTTGTCACTCAAATAACTACTTAGTCGGCATGTGTGCGATCTGTGTTTGTCTGATATGTTAGGTTCATCACATTCTCATGAATACACTTGAGAGGAGAATTAATAAAAAATTAAATGACACCATACAAATTAATGTCTTATTAGTTTAAAGTATAAAGAATTCAATTTTTTTAAATTAAAATATTAAATTTAAAGATTTGATATAACTCAATTTTAAATTAATCAAAATTTAAAATAATTTTCGTATATTGATGGTTTAGTTTTTTTTTAAAAAAAACAATCCATATATAATAATAATAATAATAATAATAATAATAATAATAATAATACCATAGATTGATTGGAGGTCCTTCCTCTTTGTGCGGAAATGAAGTAAGACCCCTACCGAAAATGCTTTTGCCCTTTGTCCTTTCTCTTTGGCTTTCTTTGCCAATTTACTTGCAATTATTAACCTAACCCTACATTTTTTTTTATTTCATCAATGAGGAGTATATATTTTAATGGATCATCAATGAATGGTGTATTCAATGTGTGAAAATTTCAGATATGAGTTCATTAATAATGGTAGAATAACACATCTTATATTTAAATCATATATTCTTTTATTATTTTATGAATAGGGATTCACTTAATATTTACACATAAGTTTT